CACGCACCACCATGCCCAGCTATTTTTTCTTCTTTTTGTATTTTTAGTAGAGACGGGGTTTCACCATGTTGACCAGGATGGTCTCGATCTCCTGACCTCGTGATCCACCCGCCTCGGCTTCCTAAAGTGCTGGGATTACAGGCGTGAGCCACCATGCCCGGCTTATGACTCCTTTTATTCTTCTGTCATCTGGGAAGCTTTCCCTAACCTACCTACCCTACCACTCCTTCCAAACAACAGTTTTTCTGTTTTGCTATAGGACCCGGTACTTAATCTCATTTTATTGTGTTTTATATCTGTCTGTTACCTTATCTGTCTCCTTCACTAGTGTGAGATCCTCAAAGACAGGCACCGAGTCTCATCCACCTCTAATTCTGTGGAACCAAACACAGGACCTGGCACACATTATTTGCTATAACACGCGCTAACACTTGGTGAGCACTTACCATGCGCCAGTTGCGTGCTAAAAGATTTACATATATTATCTCGCTTAATTTTTACAACAATCCTAGGAAGTAATATGTTCCTGTAAACACCACAGGATTGACAGAAACAAAACTCAAACAAGTTTAAGATCGAAGTGAATTGTATTGGCTCAATTAAAGGAAAATCTAGAACCATGCCTTCAGGCATGGCTGGATCCGGACGCAGCGAGCAGTCGGGGTTCTTTCCCTCCATCTCTCAGCTCTGTTTCTCTCCACCAGGCTTCATTCTGCAAGCAAGCTCTCTCTACCAAGAGGGGGAAGCCAGATGCCAGCAACAGTCATATCTTCTTAGCTTGACAACAGCAGTGGGGAAAACCAACATTCCCACTGACTCAGCAGAAAAGCAAGGTCTCTGATGGGCACATCCTGTGTCCGCCGCCTGTACCTGCTCACGGGGTGGAAGCACAATGATTGGCAGCCCACCAAGAGGTCTCACCTAAAAGAACCAAAATAAAACAAAAGAGATGGGAAGCCTTCCTGAGCAGAATAAAACCATGATCTACCATGGGTGGGTCCTTGCGCTGTCCCATTGTATAAATGAGGACAGGGGCACAGATCACTTGCCTGGGGGCGCCACTGGTGATAAGTAGCAGAAAAAATATTTAAGCTAATGGGTCTGGTGCCAAGTCTTGCACCCCTTGCCAGTCCGTTATACCAGCTCCTCCCATGAATTCTGAGATGGATGAGAGCCCAGGATTCAGAGGGCAAACAAAGTCAGGGTTAAGATCCATCATCATCACTATTATTATTATTATTACTAAATAGGGTCTTGCTCTGTCACCAGACAGAATGCAGTGGCAACACCATAGCTCACCTCAGCCCCAAACTCCTGGATTCAAGCCCCCCACCCACCTCAGCCTCCTGAGTAGCTGAGACTAAAGGCATGTGCCACCATACCTGGCTAATTTTTTTTTTTTTTTTTTTTTTTTTTTTTTTTTTTTTTTTTTGGTAGAGATGGGGTCTCACTATGTTGCACAGGCTGGTCTCAAACTTTTGATCTCAAACAATCCTCCAGCCTCAGCCTCCCAAAGCACCGGGATTACAGGCTTGAGCCACTGCATCCAGCCTGAGATCCATTTTTGAGGCTGTGATCTCTATGAATTCATATGTCCTCATCAGTCAAATATGGGCAATAGTAGTATCTCTATCTTGTGATGAGAATTAAATGAAATCATTCAAATAATGTATTTGGCATAGGGCCTGGCACATAAAAATAACTAAATTAATGTTAGCTTCTATTATCAATAACTGTTCATTGAATGAATAAGTGAGTGAATTGTATCTGGACTCTAACAGGAAGACTCTGGTGGCTCATCTTACAGTGTGAAGGCCTAAGAGTAGGGTTTAAGGGAGAGCTTTAGACCCTTGAAAATCTCCACCACAACTCAAAACACTCTCTGTGGATATTTCTACTCTTTGAGCTGGGCAATTAACTTTTCTTAATTTTTCTTTCTTTCTTTCTTTCTTTCTTTCTTTTTGAGACAGTGCTCATATTGTAATGTTTCCCAAGCTGGGGTATAGTGGCGCGATCATAGCTCACTGCAGCTTCAAACTCCTAGGCTCAGGCGCTCCTCCTGCATCAGCTTCCTGAGTAGCTAGGATTACAGGTGCACACCAGCATGCCCAGGGGATTTTTTTTTTTTTTTTTGAGAGATAGGTCTTGCTACATTGTCCAGGCTGGTCTCAAACTCCTGACCTCAAGCCATCCTCCCACCTTGGCCTCCCAAAGCACTGGGATGAGCCACTGCAACCAGCAAACTTTTCTTAATTTTACATAAAGGGAAAATAAAAGCATGTTTAGAAAGTCCTGTTCATAGTATTGATCTGTAACTTAGCTCTAAGCAAGTCTCCAAGCCCAATTTCTCCCTCCAACCAGATGGCCACCCCAAGTCCCTTCCAGTAGGAATTCTAGGCTGGATGCAGTGGCTCATGTCCATTATCCCAAGACTTTGGGAGGCTGAAGGAGGCAGATCACATGAGGCCAGGAGTTCGAGACCAGCCTGACCAACACAGAGAAATGCCATCTCTACTAAAAATACCAAAAATTACCAGGGCATGGTGGCGCATGCCTGTAATCCCAGCTACTTGGGAGACTGAGGCATAAGAATTGCTTGAACCCAGGAGGCAGAGGTTGCAGTGAGCAAGATTGTGCCACTGCACTCCAACCTGGGCAACAGAGCAAGACCCTGTCTCAAAAAAGAAAACGGAATTCTAGAGCCACCACTGGCACCCATGCTCCATACAGCTGGGCCTGGAATGAGCGCTGTCCCCACATATGACCACGTGCATGTAAAGAGCCTTGAAGGTGCCGAGGGCCATAATTAGCTCAGAAGGTCATCTAGGTTCTCCTAGCACTGTGGAGTCAAGGAGTCCGGAAGTCCAGTCCCAGGCCGGGACAGGGCAGAGGACAGGAACAGGCTGACTTACTGAGGTCTCTGACGGGCCAGCAGAGCACTACAACTCTTTTCCCAATTGCAATGACACGTGGCCCCCAAAAGCTTTAGAATTCTCCCCACATCGAGTGAGCACACAGTGTCCTGAGACATCCTTGGCTTTCTGCAATCCAGGAAACTGCACTAGATGCCAAAGGTACAGAGACAGGAGCAAAGTGCCTGAGTGGAGCGGCCCTCAGCCCCAGCGGGAGGGGACAGGCTGCCTCTCCGAGGGCTGGAGGCAGGGGGAAGGAAGGGGATCCGAGGGGAGGGCTGGCGAGGGGGAAATGAGCGAACTTTACCCAACTCTTTAGAGGCCCAGTGGGATGTCTATGGTGTCCACATACGGCTGACAGCTCCAAGTCTGGGGCCAGAGATGCCAGCAGGCAGGACACGAGATGCTGCCTCATTTTCTCCACCTTTCTCCTGCCTTTCTCCCTTCGCCTTCCCCATTCCCCTTCCAAATCCTCCTGCTGGTCAGGGGTGTGGAAACAGTTGGGAATCTTTGGCCACTCTAGCTGCAGTTCTGCCCTCTGCAATCTTGGCCGAGTCACTTAATGACGATAACCCAGTTCGTGTGGAGTCACAAAGGGTGTTCACATCATGACGTCACCAGACCCTCCAACCACACCCACTGCACAAGCATTATCTCATTCAATCCTCATGACAACTCTGGAAGTGAAATAATATTAGTGCACCCATTTCACAGATGAGGACCCTGAGGCTTAGGGAGATTGTGTGTGACCTTCCCAACGTCATACGGCTAATAAATGGCAGGACTGCAGTTGAAACCATGGTTTACTAAACGCCAAAGCTGGAGCTTTCTAGATCTCAGGATCTAGAGCAGGGATTATTACTATCCCTGCTGTTTACATGAGGAAACTGTGGCTCAGGGAGGTCAAGTGACCTGCCAAAGCTTGTACACGTGCAAAGTGGCAGAACCAGGGTGCAAACACATTCCTTTCTCTCTCTTTCTTTCTTTCTTTCTCTCTCTCTCTCTCTCTCTCTCTCTCTCTTAATCAATCTCTTTTCTGAGACAGAATTTCTCTCTCATTGCCCAGGCTGGAGTGCAATGGCACGATCTCGACTCACTGCAACCTCTACCTCCCAGGTTCAAGCAATTCTCCTGCCTCAGCCTCCCGAGTAGATGGCATCACCATGCCCGGCTAATTTTGTATTTTCAGTAGAGACGGGATCTCACCGTGTTGGTCAGGCTGGTCTCGAACTCCCAACCTCAGGTGATCCGTCCACCTCGGCCTCCCAAAATGCTTGGATTACAGGCACGAGCCACTGTACCTGGCCAACAAACACATTTCTTTTACCACCAACATCAATGTCTATTTTGCCGACAAAACAATGAGGGGCCTGAGTAAATGATCTCAATGGTCCCTCCACCCTCCAGCTGAGATATTTTTATAGTTTGTTTTGTTTTGTTTTGAGACAGGTCTGGCATTCACCCGGGCTGGAATGCAGTGGTACAATCTGAGCTCACTGCAGCCTTTGTCTCCTTGGCTCAAGCCATCCTCCCACCTCAGCCACCCAAGTAGCTGGGACTACAGGCTTGTGTCACCATGCCCAGTTAATTTTTGCATTTTTTGTAGAGACAGGGTTTCACCATGTCGCCAAGGTTGTTCTCAAATTCCTGGGCTCAAGCAATCCTCCTGCCTGAGCCTCCCAAAGCGTTGAGATTACAGGTGTGAGCCACTGCACCCAGCAGTTGAGATACTTTTTAATTCTGGCCTGGGGTAAAGAGAAGTTGGATAGAAAATGGGTGAAAATAAAAAAGGTCTCAGTCTTACTGCAGCTTGTTCATGCCTCCTGCCTCAGGATGCCATAGTGGCTGCCCCAGCCCTGCCCTTTCAGCCTCATTCCCTCCCTCAGTGAAGGAGAGAAAAAGTGATTTAACAAACTGAGGGCTGTCAGCCCTTGGTGTTTAGACCTCTGAGATCCCACACTGACCTACCCAGTAGCTTCCTCCTGGAGAAATGTGTGTTCACAGCTACCTTCTACAGTGTCCCTAAGGGAGAGTGTGAAGCACACGCAGGCACCATCTGACACACCACACCTGCTGAGTCCAAACCATGGGAGGTTCCTCTCCTAGACCCTGCATCCTGAAAGCCGGGCACTTGACAGCCTGCCAGCTGGCTGCAGAGACACACCCAGGGGGAGGAGCCGCAGTCCTGTCTGGGGCACCAGCCTAGGCTGGCCAGAGCTCCTGTTTCCACTGCTCTGCCACCTGCCCGGGGTACCAACATGGCCCAGAAGCATCCCGCCTGCACCCTGAAGCCCGAGTGTGTCCAGCGGCTGCTGGTTTGCTCCCAGGAGGCCAAGAAGTCAGCCTACTGCCCCTACAGTCACTTTCCCGTGGGGGCCGCCCTGCTCACCCAGGACGGGAGGATCTTCCAAGGTAAAGGCGGGCACCCCAGGGTCCCCAGCCCAGCAGCCTGGGTGGGGGGTCAGAGGAGGATGTGCAGGACTGGGTGCAGGGGCACAGGCAGTGGCGGGAGCGCAGCTCTGTCCCTTCTTCCCCAGCCTCCGCTGAACCACTCCACCCCGTAAACCGCCCCAGACCACACTCAAATGTGGCTTCAATCCAGGGGCTTTCAATGTTTACTGGACTGGGATGAGGAAGGAAGTTAGAAGGGGGCAGGAAGGGGAGGCCATAAATCAAGAACCCCAACAGTCCCGGGGTGCTGGCGGGGAGAGGGTTAATGCTTTCCCAGCCTGGGAAATGCCTGGCACCTTACTGAGGCTTCCACCACGCTACCTCCACACCTCCCACCCCCTGACCTAGGAACATGCTCATTTTTAAATGAAAACTACCGAGGCCAGAGAGGTGACATGACTTGCCCAAGGTCACACAGGGCGCTGGTGGTGAAACCCTGGACTGGAGTTTCCCCAAAGCCCTGCTCTCTCCTTCAACCCGCTGTGCTCCGTGCTGGCCAGGGTGGTGACGCGTTTGTCGGGGCTGGTCCTTGCGGAATCTTGGAGGAGAGAAGCCGGATGGGGTTTTTGGGGTTTCGTAGTCCAGCAATGAGCAGTGCCCTGCAGGGTCTGGGCGGGTAGGAACCTGAGCCCACCTGAGTCTACTCTAATCTGTTCCTAAACTCTTGTCTTTGGTTCATTGCTTGTGTAGAAAAGTTCACGTGAACTTGTTTTAAACTCGTTTTTGCTAAGCTTAGAAGCATTCTCCTTGGGGCAGTGGGGGACAGAGTGTGGAGGCGCTCCTTGGTGTTATTCCTTGTCTGTCGGGGGTGTGACTTGCCTGGGTCTTAAAGGCTTTTGAGCAGGAGAAGCAGCCTTGATTGAGTGCTAACAGCCTGTGAAAGGAAGGTGACTAATGCTATCTGTTTAACCCCTGCAACCCTGAAAGGCAGAGAAGGAAACTGAGGTTCAAAAAGGTTCAGTGCCCCAAATCACAGAGCTGGCGCTGGAACCCAGAGTTCCCAACACCAAAAGCCGTTGCTCTGTGAAGAGTGAAGGATCTCTGAGTACCACGCTGAAATTCAGACCCGTTTTGGTGGCTGAGATGAATGTTAAACATTAACCACCACCACAAACAACAAACATTAATTAACCACCACTGCAAACACTGTTGCAATTCGCAACTTACAGAATCTTGAATGTGGAATCCGCCCTTGATACTTTCAAACACCTTCACATCCTTTCCAGACAAAGGGCCCTCCTACAATCCCCCCGGCACCCACACTGACCCCTCCCGCAGTGCTTATCACAGGGTGTCATCGCCGTCCACGTACGTGTCTGCCTCTCCCTTGGGACTTTGTGCTGTAGAGGGCAGGGGCTGTGTCTTGAATCTTTGTACCGTTGACTTTCTCCTGCTGTGACCTAGCACCTGCCTGGCCCAGAACAGGCACTCGATAACTGCTGAGTGACTGATTGGATGAATGAATGAGATGAGAACGTTTGGCGAAGCAGAAGGAAGAGGGATGGCGGGGCAGGTGGTGGTGACGGGGCTCAGCATGCTGGGCCACAGCATTTCCTGGCCTGTGGGGCCTTCCATCCATGCTTTCCAGCACTGGGGCTGGTGTTCTGCTTGGACCAGCAGGAGGTCAGACAGCCTCATCGTGCCTCCACAACCAGGGGACCCCCATGCCAGAATGCTCTGGTCCTTTCTTGTCTTAAAATCCACAATATGTTCTCATTGTTCAACACCCACTTATGAGTGAGAACATGTGGTGTTTGGTTTGCTGTTCTTGTGACGGTTTGCTGAGAACCATGGTTTCCAGCTTCATCCATGTCCCTGCAAAGGACATGAACTCATCCTTTTTTATGGCTGCATAGTATTCCATGGTCTGTATGTGCCACATTTTCTTTATCAGAAATACCTAAGATGACAGGGGGCTGGATGACAGGGGGCTGGATGACAGGGGGCTGGATGCAGCAAACCACCATGGCACATTAGTATACTTATGTAACAAACCTGCATGATCTGCACATGTACCCCGGAACTTAAAGTATAACAAAAATAAAATAAATAAGAATAAATAGAAGGTAAGATAAAGGAGGATAAAACTAATAAACAAAAAAAGACCCACAATAAAGGAGGCACACTTTCACTCACAAGTGACACCTGGGAGCTCCTTCCAGCAAAGTTGACGCCTTTGTCACCCTCATACTGATCATTCAATGGGTATTTGCTGAACATCAACTCTGTGCCAGGTCAGGTGCCAGGTGCTGGGGATATCACAGTGAGCAGGGATGACACAGTCTCTGTCCCCATGGTGGGTCCCTCATCTTGCACAGGTGATGAGTGAAGGTAGGAGCCGCATCTAATGGCTGTGGACAGAATGAACGGAGGAGGTGAGCAGGACTGTGGCCCATTTGCATCGCAGGGAAAGACCTGGTATCACCAGAGAAAGGGTTGCATGGTGGGGATTTACCGAGTGGAGGCTTCAGAGGCAGAGGTCCCTGGATTGGAAAGCTGGTGTTTACCAGCTGTGTGACCCTGGGTAAGACCCTTCACCTTTCTGAGTGTCCGCTCACACATTCATTCATTTTTTTTTTTTTTTTTTTTTTTTTGAGATGGAGTCTTGCTCTGTCACCCAGGCTGGAGTGCAGTGGCGCGATCTTGGCTCACTGCAACCTCTGTCTCCCGGGTTCAAGTGATTCTCCTGCCTCAGACTCCCATGTAGCTGGGCTTACAGGCACCCGCGACATACCCAGCTAATTTCTGTATTTTTAGTAGACACGGGGTTTCATCATGTTGGCTGATCTGGTCTTGTACTCCGAGGTGATCCACCCACCTCAGCCTCCCAAAGTGCTGGGATTACAGGTGTAAGCCACGGTGCCCAGCCAGCTCACACATTTTAAGCCAGGGATCATAACACCTACCTTTCAGGGTTACTGTGAACAGAACCGGATTCAGCTGGTGTGCCTGGCATGGCATAGCAGGCAGCATCCGCTCTGATTGATTGGTGCCTGTGCTGAATATGGTGAATTTCCCCCCCGGTTGTGAGGCTTTAAATGAGCAAATGCCTATAAAATGTTCAGCGCATTTTCTGCCTTGTAGTGAGAATGTCACAAATGGTAGCTGTTTCTGTTACCACTATTAATGCTATCATTATTCTTATTATCTGGAGGCAGATTGTGAAGGGCGTTTGGAGGCCAGAGACACTAAGATTTGAAGAGGTAGGAAGTAGGGTGCCAAGGAATGTTATTAGGAAGAAGAGCAACATAAAAGCGGTGTGTGATGACAATTAGTGTGACAGGTGCTCCAGAAGGGCGGAGGCAGAGGAACAGTGTCAGGGGACAGTATCTGCTCTGTCCACTGACCTCTCCGTATTGTCAACCCATTTCCCGGGCTATCATTGGGCCTGGTAAGCTTTGCTGAACACATGAATGAAAGGCCTGGACTAGGACTGGGGCAGGTAGACTGAAGAGGAAGGAATGATCTGGGAGATACTGTGTGGGACAATGGATCGGGCCTGGCACAGGCAGTAGTAGAAATAAAGGAAAAGTCTGGCTGTGGTGACTCACACCAGTAATCCCGATGCTTTGGGAGGCCGGGGCTGGGGGATCACTTGAGTCCAGGAGCTCGAGACCAGCCTGGACAACATGGCGAGACTCCATGTCTACAAAAAGTACAAAAATGAGCTGGACGTGGTGGTGTGCACCTGTGGTCCCAGATATGTGGGAAGCTGAGGTGGGGGGATCACCTGAGCCCCAGGAGTTTGAGGCTGCAGTTAGCTGTAATTACACCACTGTACCTCAGGCGGACAACAGAATGAGACCCTGTCTCAAAAAGTAAAAAATAAAACAAGAAATTAAGGAAAGGCATATGGCTTTAGGATTTCCAGCCAGGTGGCCCAGGGGAAAGATGACGCACTGACTGAGGTGAGATGCTGAAGTCATGGCTGGACCGTGCTGGGGATGTGCCGGGCGGGGGCCAGCAGCAGTGTGCAAAGCTCCAGTGGGGTAAGCTCACTAAGGGCTTCGTATAGACGACCTCTTGTCATCTCACGGCCACCTCATGATGGGAGATGATGCGCTAAGTTGGGGCTTGGAGCATGGGGCGCCTGGACGCCCCGAGGAAGCCTGGTGTGGCATCATGTGGTGAAGCAGAGCTGATCAGGAGGCAGAAACGGCACAGCTGGGTGTAGACACTGTGAGTTTACAGCTTATGGCGGGACAGGTATGCCCAGGGCTGTGACTTTCTCCAGCTAAACGCAAGACCAGCCCCAGTGAAGGCTTCCCCACTCCCCCGAGGCAGCTGGCATCCTATCCAATTCAAAAGCAGGCCTGGCTGCAAAGACAGCTTTGCTGTCACGACTTCATAATAATCATCATTTTCTCTCTGTTACTCCCCACCCCGGCCAGGACCTTGTGCCTCTCACACACGGGCCACTCAGGATGGTGATTAACAACTACAGCAATTAGGTTCTCATGATGCACCTCCGGCTGGTGACACTCGTGACTGCTTGTGGGAGAGCCGAGGGAGAGGTACCGAAAGAGGAGCTCACTGGTGAGGAAAGAGCTGCGAAGGGAAAAGGAAGTGAGGACACTAAATGGAGAGTGAGATGGCACCGAGGAGGACTGAGAAAGCAGAGAAAATGGGCCGGGCACCGTGGCTCACGCCTGTAATCCCAGCACTTTGGGAGGCCGAGGCGGGTGGATCACCTAAGGTCGGGAGTTCAAGACCAGCCTGGCCAACATGGTGAATCCCTGTCTCTACTAAAAATACAAAAAATTGGCCGGGCGCGGTGGCTCAAGCCTGTAATCCCAGCACTTTGGGAGGCCGAGGCGGGTGGATCACGAGGTCGAGAGATCGAGACCATCCTGGTCAACATGGTGAAACCCCGTCTCTACTAAAGTGCAAAAATTAGCTGGGCATGGTGGCACGTGCCTGTAATCCCAGCTACTCAGGAGGCTGAGGCAGGAGAATTGCCT